TTCTCTGCAGCCCTCTCTCTTTTTTTTTTTTTTTTTTTTGAGACAAGGTCTCACTGTGTAGCCCTGATCGGCCTAGAACTCCCCTATGTAGACTAGACTGGCCTTGAACTTAAAAGATCCGCCTACCTCTGCCTCCTGAGTGCTGGGATTAAAGGCATGTGCCACCATGCTTGGCTGAACCATACTTTCTAAAAGACAACAATTTTAGATGAAAAACTAGGGAGTCAGATGGACAGATTATATAGACCTTATTTTGTTTATAACTATTATAAAACCCTTTTCCAAAAAGTCAGCCAAACAAATAAGAATAACCCAGTGATCAGTTTTCACTACTTTTACTAGATAAGTGAATGTCGATCAAAGGTTAATATTGGTGAAACATAATCAGAATCCCTATCACCACCACTGTTGACATTTTAATAATATAATTCAGTGGATATTTTAAAAATCTATCTACAAATACAAATCAATGAAGGTTTCTTTCATAAGCCCCCCCCCTTTTTTTTTTGTCTTTTTGAGACAGGGTCTCCCTGGAGCCCCAGCTGTCCTGGAACTCACTATGTAGACCAGGCTGGCCTTGAACTCACAGAGATCTGCCTGCCTCTGCCTCCGGAGTGCTGGAAACTGGATATAATGATGTTCAAACTGTTCTTTCTTCTTTTGCAGACACTTAACAGCCTGCATAAGCACAGATGTCTGTGATTCCGAATAAAGCAGAATTTAAAGATATTCTTCTACTCTTAAATAGAAATTTTGGCACATTATACTTTATCTGATTGCTTAGTAATATTATGCTTTCATCTAAAATTCTAAATATTTTTCTTTTTTATTTATGATTTTTATTTTATGTGTATACGTGTACTGGCTGCATGCAGGTAAGTGCACCCGTGTCGTGCAATGCCCATGGAGGTCAGAAGAGGCTGTCGAATTCCCTAGGACTGGAGATACAGTTGTTACCTGCCATGTGGGTGCTGGGATTCAAACCCAGGTCTTCTGCAAGAACAACCAGTGTTCTTAACCACTGAGCCATCTCTCCAGCCCCTAAAATTCTAAGTATTTTTCTATAATCTGAATAATATCTGAAGCTCTCAGTAGAACTGAAATAAAGTAAACATTTTTCAACAACTTTCAATATAAGTTGAGGTACACAAATATCAAACAACAAAAACATAAGTGCCATCAGCGATCTAGAGGTAATGTAGTAGTCAAAACGTGAATGACCTAGCCTTCATACTATGCTAGCCTTATATTTTAGAGAACAGTTAAATAGTATGTTTAAGATTTATACACTATTATTTCAGAAATAAGGCAGAAATGTATTTTTACTGCACATTATATACTTTCTCCAATGTAAAATCTGTGGGAAAAAAGGCACCAATCAACCAAGCCCCAAATATAAAGTGACAAAGTTTCTGCCAAAGTCTATGTACGCAAGTAGAATTCAGATCTTTCTGTGTTCTTCTATATAAGGTTGTGACGAGAGCAAATTAATTGTGCTCCATAGCAAAGGTACAAAGCTAACTAAGAATCTTGTTTCACTGCTAAAGATGAGAACTGTGGAAACTGCTATAAGGCTAATGGGGTAGAATCTTCATAAAACAAAAGTTCCAGGATCTCTAGATTATATCTTACTTTTTATCAAATGGGAAAAACAGCCCAGGCTTAATTACAAATAAAACTACCATAAGCTGAAATAAGAGTTCAGTATCTTCCCCCCAAATATCAAAGATAACCTGAAAGAATAACTCGAATAAGGGTCATGAACTGTGTTAGACAGTTAACTAGGGGTTTTACGAGCTATGGTGAATGCAGCTATGTTCTAAAAGTGGCTGTAGCCAAGAGGAAATAACCTCTCTGGCATGCGTACGGCTACACAACACATTTGTTTCACTGCTTACAAGTGCCAGTGCTAGAGGCTTAGAGTAAGTCAATGGGAGGAGGGTTTCTGTCACAGGCAGGCAGCTGAGCAGACACAAGGACGATGTGCTTAGGAAAGTCACAAGCACACGAGAGGTAAGCACTGACAAATACATATAAAACTAATGTAGGGTTTTGTTGTTGTTTCCATTTTTTAATCTTAAGCATTCTGCTTCCATAGTCTTTTATTTCTATTCAGTGGTTTAAAATTTACAAATGTTAAAAGGGGAAATTTTATATATGGGATTTGTGGTATAATGAACAAATAAATAGCTTAATTTTTCTCTTAAATTATTCTCAGAGAACTGAGGAGGTTAAGGGAAAAATCAGTACTTAAAAAGAACTGGTTTAAATCTGGCAGATTTACGTGAATCTTGTAGAAACATGCTAAGAAAGGTGAAATTACTGAAAGTATAATAATTCTGTACTCTTTCTCTCAAACTGAAAGGATTATAAAATGAGTAATAAAATAATGGCACTTAAATCAACACTAAGATAAACCTAATCAGACAGAGGATCACATCTACAGATTCTTTCCTGTAAATCCTTTATTTAGATCTGAGGTGGTTTTGGGTCTTACTAGATGGGTGGCCAGCATGTACTGAAACTTTTACTTAGAACTATTTACTGCTCTGATTTTATTATTTGTCCATATGTTTTCTAAAGTAAAGGTAAAATGATATCCAAAGGGCTAGAGAACACATAGTGCTTTGGCATAATCACTGAAATACTAATCTACCTCCTTTGTCATTAACTCCAAGACAAATCAGAAATACAGAATTTTTATAGGAATTGGGTACACTGTTACAAATGCACACCAATCTTTTGAGAAGGGATGGGCTACTTAGTAAGTTGAAGTGTTTTCATTGCTTTTTTTGGAAATAAATAATGCAGTCTCTCTGTATCTAGGAACTCTCCAATATTTAACCTCAAACTGGTTCTACAACTACAAGGAGGTGAAAAAAACCAGAGAAATTAATAGTTTATTTTCCCTTCACCTACTGGTTCCTTTCACCACATCTTCTGAAACCTAAGCCTCTAAAAACCACTAGAAATGAGGAGTTCTTACCTGCAAACATGGACAGGTGTATGTGCATTCTCATCTCAGAGAACGTGGATCTTTTTTTAAAAGGAAGAAGTCAACTTTAGTTTTGAATACTTGGCATGGATACCAAGCCTTACAAAAGCTACTGACCATGCTGACCACTGTCTGGAACTGGACTGACTCACAGAAAAACAGAAAATGGCCCTCTCTTATAAAATGTCCAAACAAAGCACAATTCCTGAGCATGGTCTGCAGAATACATTTGATCGCCTGATAAACTTTTCTAATTGGTCTGGATTACAGTCAGAATCAGTACCGGAGGAAATGAAACAGATCATTGAGGAACAGGGAAAGAAACTGCACTGGGCAGCTCTGCTGATTCTGGTGGTGATAATACCCACAATTGGTGGGAACATCCTTGTTATTCTGGCTGTTTCACTGGAGAAAAGGCTACAGTATGCTACAAACTACTTTCTAATGTCCTTGGCGGTGGCTGATTTACTGATTGGATTGTTTGTGATGCCGATTGCCCTCTTGACAATTATGTTTGGTAAGTATTTCCCTTTGTTCTGCCCTCGAACCTCCCAAATGATAGACTATAAAGACCTAGACACTCAATGGATCTTTATTTTCTGTGAAATAAAAGATGGACGTGAAGTAAAGACGCAGAAGGTGACATTCCCTCACTTTTCATAATTTTCTATGGTTGATAACAAATGTAAAGGGCCACAGAAAGTTTCTTAGGAACAGTTTGCTCCCTCCATAGCTATCTTATAAAGTCATTTCAGAAAACATTGAAACTGGCAATATCACAGATTCTGAATATATTACCTAAAAATGATAGTAAATAGTCCTGTATCTTAAAAAAAAACAACAAAAACAACAAAAAAACCATTCAACCAGTCCCCTTGACAAAGCCATCAACAAGGACAATTCTGGGACTTTAGTAATAGAATTTTTCAATCATTAAATGATCACTAAATCTCAATTTAAATGTGAGGTTGGAGAGATGGTTCAGTGGTTAAGAGCACTGAGTGCTCTTGCAGATGACTCGGGTTCGATTCCCAGCACCCACATGGTGGCTAAGAACCGTCCTTAACTCCAGTTCCAGGGGAATCCGAAGCCCTCTTCTGACCTCCACAGCACTGCATGACACAAGTGCACTAAAGTACATGCAGGCATATACTCACACACATAAAATAAAAGTAATAAATAAAATATTTAAAAAATTTAAATGTGTTATTGTCCTAAAAATTCTTATTACACATAGCTCTTTATAATTCATGTGCCTTGAACCTTGACATAATTCCTACATAGATGTCATGTTAAGAAAAAATTATGTTTAATTCCAAAAGGAAATGGTCTGGGCTTAGAGAACCTTAAGAGATGATCCATCTGTTAAAAATTTTTATGGTATCTGACCATCTGTGTTCTCAATAAAGCTATATGTTAATAAAATAAGTGTACCAAAAGCCTGAATTGTTGTGATAATAAAAAAGTTTGATGTTCATATCTTTGTTATATTAAGAAAGACGAAATTAAAATAGGTTAAGTAGTGTCTGCTGTATGCACACCATCTCCAGTTATAAAATGTGCATAAACACAAATTCTGTTGAGGAATTATGAGAGTTCCTATATTAGAGTCACCATTAAAAGGACATTTAACTTGGTCAATGTTTGATGCAAAATGATATTCCATTAATAAATCATTTGAGAAAATTATAACAGATTAGGCTTCTAAGAATTACACTTATTTGCTGAGAAAAACATTGTAAGTTATAGAAATAAAATTTATTAAATCAGAACACACTCATTTGTTAAACTAGAAGGTAAAGAAAAATTGCTATCCCAATTATTTTTGAAAGTAACAGAAAGATATCTGAAATTAAGTACTTGTTTCCTCAAATATAGTAGAATGGGGAGGGGTTAAAACTTCTTACTGTAAATCAACATTTGCCCAGCTTTAAAGTAACTCAAGATGATCCAGATAAACAACTGACTTCAGTTTAGATACATGTCTACTGTTTTACCAGATTCTGCAATCATTATCATGGTCTAGCCTCTTTTATAAATTTGTAATATTTTGAATAACCTAATGGCACATGTTAAGCACAAGCAGTAAGAAATGACACTGTAACAGAGACCCCAAGCAACTGAAGTTCAAAAGAAAAAAATAAGGATTATGTAGGCGCACACATGTGTATTTGGCAAAGACAGCACAGGAGTAAGACACAAGTCCTCATGCCATGCTCAGAACAGCTTAAAATATAAAACCACACAAAGACAAAATGCTTTATTTCTCACTACTATAAAATTCAATTGAAACATTTAATAAATAACAGAGTTTTACAGAAGTGAGTTTTAACTTGAAAATCCTCGAGCCCACAGATATCAAACATCTACTAAATGCAAAATACTGTGTTAGGTACTTAAATTACCAGCTAAAAAGTTAAGGAGTTTTAGAAGACAAAGTTCTACAGTATTAAAAAAAGCTGACAGTTAAGAGAATTCCAAATAAGTCATCCCAGTAGCTGAAAAAGATTTACTTATATAGAAAATTGTTGCTTAAGATATTCTTAGCAATGAAAACTGGAAGAAAACCAAACATATTAACTTAAAATTCACAGAGTGACTTTGTACTCACATCATAAATTATGATCTATCATAACAGCATTTCATTCTTTCAAATGCTTATAAAACAAATAACATACAATGTCTCAGTGCTGAATACATTCCTATTAGTAATCATGCTATACAATAGAGTTACCAGATTTTTTTTAAAAACATGAACCAACCTGAGAACTTGATCACTACTTAAAACATTATGGTAGCAATCATTATAAGACAAAATTCTATTTCTATGAGACAGTACATGTGGACATGGATGCCATCCTCTGAAAGCTTCAAAGAACACATTCATAAATTGGGAGCTGTTCACAGTATAGATGGGGGCCTGACTTCAAATGGTAAGGTCTTTGTAGATCCTTTCACAGGCTGATAAAACACTATGATTTTCTAAACTAACACATTTACAAGAATTTCTAATGATTTTAAGAAGTAGAAGCACACGATGTATGGTTTTCTTTATATGGGAAACCTTCAGAACTTCTGAAGTCTACAAACAAAAGTATCTTTGGGTAGGCACACAGTCATGTAAGATTAAATACCACTATGAACAGTTTTAGTTATTCCAAGCAAATTCAATGAAAGTAAGCCAGAAACTTTATATCAGTTAAGTATTCTAATGAAATTAAATTTTAAAGAGAATGAGTTAAAAATAATAAAATGGTCTTGGTGTTCTTAACTGAGGGATATTTTATTCAACCATATATTTGGATAATATTTAATTTGTCTGAATTTCTACTTTACCAGATCATGACACTATTTTAGTTAAATTACACTAATCAACTTTTCTGCCATTTCTTCTTTTTTTGGGGGGGTGTCTTTTTTGAGACAGGGTCTCCCAGTAGTCCCAGCTGGCCTGGAACTCACTATGTAGACCAGGCTGGCCTCGAACTCACAGAGATCTGCCTGCCTCTGCCTCCCAAGTGCTGGGATTATGCCATTTCTTCTTAGCTGGGAGTACTGGACTTGAACTCTATAGTTTTTTTTTTTTTTTTTTTTAACTGTCCTGTCTGCAATTCTTAAAATCCATGTTCAAAATACAGTAATTTATAACACAAGGTCTAAAAATGCTTATATTAGATATACTTGAGCAGGGGAGTCTGAGGCAGGGAGACCACAAATTGGATGCCAGCCTGAGAGCTACACAGCAAGATCTTGTTTCAAAAATAAAAAGACCCCAGAGGCCACTGGTGAGATAGCTCAGCAAGCAAAGGCACTTACTTGATGGACAACCTAAGCTTGATCCCTGGGACCCACATTAGGTAGGAGAGAACTGACTCCTCCAAGTTTGTCTCGCACCTGCACAAGTCTGATGCACCAAGTAAAATTTCCCCTAAGTATTAAATAGCTGAAAACATTAAAATACTATTGTATTAGCTAACCCCAGGAAATCTCATATGCTCAGATGAGTGGAAAACAAACACACACACACGCAGGTTTGCAAACAAGCTGGCACACCAAATAATCTCATCCTACTCTAGGAGCTCAGAAAGGAAAGGAAGCAGAGCATGTGGTCTCCTGCCACACACACACCACAAACCACACACACACACACACACACACACACACACACAGAGACACAGAGATACACAAATAACACACACACCACAAACCACACACACACACACACACAGAGACACAGAGACACACAAATAACACACACACCACAAACCACACACACACACACACACACACACACACACACACCCCTGAGGTTTTATAACAAGATTTTAAGCAAAAATCATGTATTGTGTTCTAAATTTGTCTTTTTGAGACAGGGTCTCCCCGTAGCCCCAGCTGGCCTGGAACTCACTTTGTAGACCAGGTTGGCCTTGAACTTACAGAGATGCTCCTGCCTCTGCACTTCACGACATGGGTATACTTACATACATGCAGGCACATAAAATTAAAAAAAAAAAAAGCTAAACGGGCAGGTTTAAACTATTAGCAAACTATTTTAAAAGGTACTACTTTAAAAAGCGTGGTGGTATACTCCTGCAACCTCATGGCTTGGAGGCAGAGGCAGAAAGATCACAAATCTGAGGCCAGCTTGAGCTACATTGTACTGTCTCAAAAAGAAAAAAAGGAAGAGTGAGGGGAGCAAGCAGCATAGTAATGTCGTTCAGTGGTAGAGCTCTTGAGTGCTTTTCTTTTCCATGCAGGGCCTTACTATGTTGCCAAGGTTGGATTCAGGCTCGCTCAAGCAATCCTATGTCAGTCTCCATAGCAGCTGGGACTATAGGTTCAGGCCACTGCATGTAGACCAAACTTGAGTCTTTCTACTTCCCTACTCAGAGTCCAGAATCTAGGGTTTACACGATGAAACTCCCTTAAACACTGGCAATCCATTTCATAACCCGAGGTCAAAGAATGCTTTGCTGCTTTTGTCTAAGGTCCTTTTCCCACTGCCAACAGAAGGCTGGAATGCTACAACTGAGAAAATTGAATTGCTCAGGTTCTCTCTGTACACAGGTTTCTCTACTTTATTTTCCTTTTGTAAGTTCCTTTTGTGTGTATGTGCACAAGTGTGTGAAGGCCAGAGGGTGGAGCCAGGTGTCTTCCTCAATCGCTCTGCATGTTATTTTTGGGAGGACAGGGCCTTTCAGCTGAACCTGGAACTTACTGATTTGACTAGGCCAACTAGCCAGCAAGTCCCAGGGACTCTCCTGTCACTGTCTTTCCAGCTCCACGATTACCGACTGCCATGCCTGGCTTTTATAAGGGTGCTGGTGATGTGAACGCAGGTCCTCACACTTGCACAGCAGGCACTTCACCAACTGAGCCACCTCCCCAGCTCCCACATGTCTCTTTTATAGAACATTCTGAGTTCCTATCCCACATCAGTAAACTCAAGTCTATCTTTTTTTTTCATATTTTATTTATCATTATTATTTTTTTATGTGTATGAGTGTATTGCCTGTGTGTAGGTAAGTGCACCTGTGTTGTGCAATGCCCACGGAGGACAGAAGAGGCTGTCGGATCCCCTGGAACTGGAGTTACGGACATGTTGTTATCTGCAATGTGGGTGCTGGGATTCGAACCCAGGTCTTTTGCAAGAACAACCAGTGTTCTTAACTGCTGAGCCATCTCTCCAGCACCTCAAGTCTATCTTTTAAGACTAACAGATAACATTTCCTACAAAGTTCCACAGGGAACAGATTTTAAACATTAATTTCCATACAATTCATTTAGGGATTTGGTTTAACTGCAGAGTTTGAGATACAGTTACACCCTGGAAAGGGACCCAAGTGCCTGCTTTTCCAATAAAATCCCAGGCGGTGTCCAGTCCCATTTACCAATCTGAAAAGCACACTGTGAGTAATAAGGTTCTAAAGAGCATTTTAAATTAATATTTAAATTTTGATAAATGCCCTCCTGACTAAACCCATATTCAAAGACCTAATTACACATGAATTCACTCATCTGCAAAATCAGTGACACCTCAAAGGTCATTTTTAGGTTCAACTAATATCTGTTATTTACCCCCCCCATCCATTTTCATTCCCAATTCAACTGATGAAGAAAAGATTATTCTCAGTAATTAAAAATGTCTTCTACCATCTCATATTTTCTTTTTAAGAAGCTCCAGAACATGAACCCAGTACCAAGCAACTATTTTTCCTTTGGAATAAAATAGTTATTTTGTCCCTAACAAGAAATATTTTCATATTTCTAGGGAAAACACTACAAACACCAACTCTAGAAACAGAAGGCACCAAAAAGTGCATGTAGCCATGCTACCTTGTAAAGTAGCCAATCCTACTGGACTCCTGAAAATATTACATTCAAGTCTACCTAAATACTTTCCCTAAATCATGATCTGGGAATTCTAATATTTCTAACCCCAGGATCCTTAAACAGTTCACAACTGAAGGGCCTACTGGTGTCCTGCAATCCTGAAATGGTTACCTTGGTTTTCCTTTAACTGTCTCAATCATCTTCTGTCAGATATACTTACAATAATCAGAAAAAATATCTCATCAGTGAGGATACAACAAATAAACTATAAAAAGTACTTGGGCAATCTCATATGTACATTCGTTCTTTACAGTAACATGTAAAAAGTAATATATACTTAAGTTCAAAACTATATAGACACTTGTAGAATTAATTTTATTGAAAACAATGTAGAGAGCCTGGCCTGTTCATGCAGTCCTGTAATTTCAGCTATTAAGAAGGCTGAGGCAGGAAGACTGCAAGTACAAGGCCAGTCTGGGCAACTTGGTGAGCCTCAGACTCAAAATAAAAGAGTACACGGACAGAAGAGGCAGCTCAGTGGTTAAGAGCACTTACTGCTCTTCCAGGGACTCTGGTTCAGTTCCTAACACCCATTATCTATCAGAGAGCTCACAACTTCCTGTTAATTCCATCTCAAGGAGATCCAATGTACTTTTCTGGACTCTGTAGGCACCTGGCCATACATGGTTCATTTGTTCGTTTGTTCCTACACATGGCATACATATACGTACACACACACACACACACACACACACACATACACACGCACAAATAATAAAGTTTAAAAAATCTTTAAAGAATAATAAAAGAGTAAAAAGAGGCCTGGGGAAATAGCTCAATAGTAGAGTGCTTGCCTAGCATGGTCAAAGTCCTAGGGTTTAATCCTTAGCATTGTAAGGAATGATAAACTAAAACCATGTAGAATGTTCAATATCACATCCAAACCTAAATTTTTTCAAAGGTTAATAATTCTAAAGTGCTTATAACTACATGAACTACACACTGTGAGAGTTTGTTCAATGACTAAGCACTATGTTTAACCCAAAGATTTTCTTTTTAAACCCTTATTCTGTGTTTATCATATCTTCATGGGCTGAACTGAGCGATGGAATCACAGAATATGGAATGATAACAACCACTTTTCTTCAGGATAATTTGAAGCCATCTCTTTTATAATCTTTAAGAACTATTTTTGTCAAAAGGAAAAGCCATTTCACTTAATTATTTCATCAAATGAGAGTTTTCCATAAATAAGGATTATGCTGCAAGTTATTGCTAGAAGTTAAAAGGCAGGGCCTCAGGGGAACTTACCCTGATAGGCTTTTTGGATATGCACTGCTAGTTACATAAGGCAAAGTGTCTTATTGCATAAATTTTTAAAGGAACACAAAAGGAATGACAAAAAGCAAAGGTCAAAATAATGTTAAAAATAATGAAATGCCGGGCATGGTGGCGCACGCCTTTAATCCCAGCACTTGGGAGGCAGAGGCAGGCAGATCTTTGTGAGTTCAAGGCCAGCCTGGTTTACATGGTGAGTTCCAGGGCAGCTGGGGCTATAAGGATAAAAAAAAAAAAAAAAAAAAAAAAAAAAAAAGAACTGCTCACTTTGAAAATGTTATAATTATACAAAATATATATTTAAATATGGCATGAAAATAGAAATAAACTATCTAAGGGAACAAGGGGGAGGGAGAAGGTTGAAAAGGGGATATTGGGGATGGGAATATGCTAAAAATGTATTTAAAAGGTACCATTTATAGAAACAGTACACTTAATATTACTGCCTCCATGATCTGAAGTTAAACACTCATGTGTTTAAGTCATAAAGTTTGAGGTGGGCGTGATGGTGCACGCCTTTAATCCCAGCACTCGGGAGGCAGAGGCAGGAGGATCTCTGAGTTCAAGGCCAGCCTGGTAACGTAGGCCAGCTGGGTCTACAAGGAGACCCAGTCTCAAAAAGACCAAAATAAATAACTAAATAAAAATAAAGTTTTAGATTAATAAATGAAAAGGTTTTAAAAATATGTATTGCCTAAAGAAAAGATTAAACTGAAGGTTGCCATTCTATAAGCACAAATGTTTTTCTTTCTTTCAGAGGCTATGTGGCCACTCCCACTTGTTCTATGTCCTGCCTGGTTATTCCTTGATGTTCTCTTTTCAACTGCATCCATCATGCATCTCTGTGCTATTTCTGTGGATCGTTACATAGCCATCAAAAAGCCAATTCAGGCTAATCAATACAACTCCCGGGCTACTGCATTCATCAAGATTACAGTGGTGTGGCTAATTTCAATAGGTAGGTGGGGAATGCCCAGGTGTAGGTGGAGTCTACTTTCCAGCTCCATTTGGCCAGAATGCCAGGTCTGGTAGGCCAGGATGCTCAGCATGAGATGTCAAGGCAGCCCATTGATACCAACACAAGGTACTTACATCATCACCTCCATTACCTAGTGTCTAAACCATGCTATCACTAAAAACTGTAAGAGGTAAAGTTCATGGTCCTAGAATTGATGTTGGTGCTGAGATACCATCCCACTTTGATTCTGAAACACAGGAAGTCTTTATATTTGCCAATGGATTGTTATGGTCTAGGTAGCATGAGGAATCTTGCCATCAAAGTAAAATAGTAAAAAGTGACATGCATCTTGAATCATACTTAACTGGGTAAACAGGAAAGGAAAAAAACCCAACCAACCCAAATTTTCTAAGCAGCGATCAGAGATCACATATTCATCTAGGACATCAGCATTCCAATGTATACAGATGAAAATCAGTTAAATATCTGATTTAGTGTCTTCTTTTTTTTCCCTGAGAAAGAAAAAAGCTCCCCAAAGCTCTTCTGAGTTAACAGCTGAAAAATAGGCCTGCAACAAATACAATGATTTGACCAGCAGATTCACTGCTTCCCAGTAAAAAGAAAAATTGTTTGAAGAGGGAAAAAAAATGTAGAGACCTGAAGTGCAAGAAGGCAAGAAAAAGATGTTTACTTCTCTGTATAAGAATAAAGACACAGTCAATAATGCAGGAAAGACACTAAAATGACCTTTACATTCCTGAAATAATGGTTCTGGGGCCAAACTTCTTTGAAGATTTGAAAGTAAAAGCTAAGGCATGCTATTAGTCTGGTACAGAAAGAAAGTAGAGTCAGGAAAATGCCTATTCAGAATGGAGATTTGAAAGCGGCAAGACAAGGTCACTTCAAGGGGCAGAGGCTGGCTGACAGGGGAGAACACCCCACCCCATCCCCCCAGACAGAGAAAGAGTGTGGAAAACCAGTGATAATGAACAAAATATAAAGTGGAATGAAACTAGTCATTCATTCCAAATGATCTCTTTCTTATTTGTTAGCTCACTGCAATGAGGGATGGGCAGACTGTATACTTGTGTTAGGGTGTGGGGGAATAGAGATAGGGAAAAATGGGGAAATGGGTCCTTAAGCATAAATTAAATTTAAAACTATGAAATATGATCAAGTCAATATGGTAAACAGTCTGCTCGTTAGAAGTATCTAAATTAAGGCTGGATAACACAAATTTATAAACAGATTAAATTTTTATCAGGTCTCTATAATGTGCTAGGTACTAAGAATACATGAACAAAAAAGAAAGGAATGACATGAAGGCTCAGTGGTGAAAGACATTTGCCATCAAACCTGAAGCAGGATAAGGGAAGAAATCAGAGTTCATGATTTTAGATATGGAATCATTTCAAGGAGACTTAACAGATGGATTTAAGAGTGCAAACAGTAACAGAGTTGAAGAGCTCAAGAAAGATAAATTTAAGGTATTACAGGATCCTCAGTGGAATGAGGTCATGAAAGGTGACAATGGAGCTGTAGAAAGGAAGTCTACTGCAAGGTACTGAACCACTGAAGAGATGGACAAATGTCCTGGAGGCTGGCTGATGGCCAGGATGGGAAAGTAAAGTATGTGGTGGGGGAAGGACTAGTAGACTGATGATCTAGAAGTTAACAGGTAGGTCAGGGATCAGTAGAATTTTTCTATAATGGGCAAGAAAGTATTTTAGGCTGTATGTGCTTTTGTGAATTACTCAAATGTGCTGTAGTAGAAAAAGCAGTCACAAACAATGCAGTAATAATGGGTATGGCGGCACTCCAATAAAACTGATAAAACAGGATAGCAAACAGATTTAGCCCTGAAATTAGAGAGCGCTGACATCCCCCTGCCCCTGTTTCAATGCAGAATAAAATATAAACTCTTCCTTCCAGTGCTAAATATGAAAAGAGTAGGAATAGTGGTCTCATTAAAAGCCTTTGAGCAAACGAACCTGTACATCATTAGGTGTTATAAATAGGCTGTACACATAATACAGTGCTTTTAGATTTATAAAACAATACAAGATAAAAGATTATCAGTTCATATTTAAATAATATCTAAGGAAAAAGATTAGTATATCTCTGCATTATTCACTTTCTAATAAGCTACTTCCCTGAGCATCATCATAGTTAAACACTAATTTTATGGTATTTAAAGTACTAAAAAATAGTATGAGATACATACCATTTGCATCTATTAGAGGAACTGTAAGTCTTGAAAATAAATTTTACAACTTGTACAGTCTCAAATTACTAAGTAGCAATTTTTAAAGAAAAACATCAGTTTTCTCTAAAAAGTTAGATTCACAAATATGAAAATGATAAAACAGATAAGACTGTATAATCTCCTAGTTTTTTGGTTGTGAGCCTGAGCCTTGAATGGCTGTGCCGGCTCTCTAGCCCAAAACTGTATAATCTCAAAGATAATATTATTATCAACTGAAAATTATGATAGCCAATCTATAAACTCTCTCTTAATTAACTACACTGGGTATTAGTTTACCTTCTGAACTCCTTTTCCAACCTGGTGATTAAAAAATAGCTTGTGAAAGTCGAACAGCCTCTACCATGGACTTGCTATATAGCTTTAGAGAAGCTTCTCTATAAGCCTGAAATTACTAAGTAACTTCTTGTTTAAAAACAGTGGATTTGGCTGGGTATGGTGGTGCACCCTTTTAGTTCCAGCACTCAGAGGCAGAGGCAGGCGGACCTCTGGGAGATCAAGGCCAGCCTAGTCTACATAGTGAGTGCCAGGCCAGCTGGAGCTGGAGCTGCAGGGAGACCCTGTCTTTAAAAAAAGAAAAGAAACAACCAAACAAAAAAAGATTGGTTCACAGGTTCTATGTGTCAAAGGGTACACTGATAAATGCCGTGGGTCCCAGGAATTACAATACGCTTCATTATCACAAAGTTACCATGATAAAATCCCAGAGAAACTAATCTGAGACTAATAGGTCATAAAAATGACTCAATTTATCTTGTTTCACCTTTCTTAGGCATTGCCATTCCTGTCCCTATTAAAGGGATAGAGTCTGATGTGCTTAACCCAAGCAACATCACCTGTGCACTGAAAAAAGAACGTTTTGGCAGCTTCATGCTCTTCGGCTCACTGGCTGCTTTCTTTACACCTCTTGCAATCATGATCGTTACCTACTTCCTCACCATCCATGCTTTACGAAAGAAAGCTTACTTGGTCAAAAACAAGCCACCTCAACGCTTAACATGGCTGACTGTGTCCACAGTTTTCCAAAGTGAAGAATCATCTTTCTCATCACCTGAAAAGGTGGCAATGCTGGACAGTTCTCACAATGACAAAACTCCACCTAACTCAAGTAATGGAACACTTATTCGGAGAATGTCTTTGGTTGGGAAAAAATCAACACAAACAATTTCTAATGAACAGAGAGCCTCAAAGGTCCTTGGAATTGTGTTTTTCCTCTTTCTGCTGATGTGGTGTCCCTTTTTTATTACAAACATAACTTTAGCTTTGTGTGATTCCTGCAACCAGACTACTCTCAAAATGCTCCTGGAGATCTTTGTGTGGATAGGCTACATTTCCTCGGGGGTGAATCCTTTGGTCTACACCCTCTTCAACAAGACATTTCGAGAAGCATTTGGCAGATACATCACCTGCAATTACCGGGCCACAAAGTCAGTAAAAGCTCTCAGAAAATGTTCCAGTAAGATTTTCTTTGGGAATACAATGACAGAAAATTCTAAATTTTTCACAAAGTGTGGAATTCGAAATGGGATTACTCCTGTCATGTACCAGAGCCCAGTGAGGCTCCGGAGTTCAACCATTCAGTCTTCATCACTCATTCTACTAGACACACTTCTCCTCACGGAAAACGAAGGTGACAAAACTGAAGAGCAAGTCAGCTATGTATAGCAGAGCCAGCACAGTTTTCACTTAACATAAAAAGTAAGTAGTGCGCTAGAAATTAACACGTACAGAGCAGCAAATCATTTCTTTAAAGAGTTAAATATTTAAATTATTCAATTTTCTTTATCTAAACCAAAATTATATCTAAACTTCATGAATAAAGTAATTCTGTACGGCTACAAACAAAAGCAACCTAACACTAATTTTCAAATGACATAAAATTAAGTAAATCAATAAATTTCAGTCTTAAAAAAATCAATCTCATAGTTCTGGGGCTGGAAAGAAGGCTCAGCGGTTAAGAGCACTGTCTGCTCTTGCAGAGGACCTGGGTTCTATTCCTAGCACCCACACGGTGGCTAACAATTGTCTTGAACTCCAGTTCCAGTGGATCTGATGCCCTCTTCTGACCTCTGCTAGCACTGCACACAACATGGTGCACTTATGCACAAGCAGACAATACACTCATACACATAAAAAAAAATTATTTAGAGTCGGGTGTGGTGGCACATGCCTTTAATCCCAGCACTTGGGGGGCAGAGGCAGGAGGATCTCTGAGTTCCAAGCCGGCTTGGTCTACATAGTGAGTTCCAGGCCAGCTGGGGCTACAGGGAGACTCTGTCTCAAAAAGACCAAAAAAAAAAAAAAAAATCCTAACTGTATGCCGGCACCACGTAAAAAGCTGGGTGGTGGTGCAAACCTGGAATCCTAGTGCTGGGGAAATAGAGTCAGGTGGATCCCTGAGCTCATTGGCCAGCTAGCCTTGCTGAATTGTGAGCTCCAGGTTCAGTGAGAAACTATCTCAACTATCTCAAAACAAACAAACAAAAACAGAAAAAAAGATACCTCTCTCTCTCTCACACACACACACACACACACACACACACATGCACACACACACAGGGGGTGGGGGGGTGGATGAATCAGAACAACAGCAAAGTCAATGATCAGACTTTCAGACTTTATAGGTAAGTGAAGTGGCTCTAACAGTCTGATTTAGTTAAATACAGTCATAATTTTCTCCATCAGGAAACTATCTTGATGGAACAAATAGGAAAGACAACAGTTAAATATCATACAAAGTAACAGGACCTTAGAGCTAGAACTGTTAAATGGCTAATAGGTATCTAATCAATAGAGGTGGGTCCACTAGAAGAGGTGGAGAAAACAAATGGAATTTCCCTTGGGTACCTAAACCATATAATGCTCCTTAAAGGAATAAATGAACACACTGAAATGGGAAGTATGGGATCTCAATTTAGGGACCTAAACAGCACTGACCTCAAACTGAGGTACACCTGCCTGTTTCTACCCTTTGACTGAACGTCCAGCAAAAATTTTCATTTACTGTCTATTTAATTTTGCATTGTTAGATCTGGGAATAAGCCAAAGCTGTACCACTTACTGGATAGCTGGCTGATTTAGACATAGTTCACCCGAGACTCTGTTTTCGCATCTATATTCTGCGCTGTTTGTATAGGGAATCAGTACATGGTAGCTAATTCTATTTACTTTTGATGTTTTTTAAATCAATCAATCAATCAATCAATCAATCAATCAATCAATCAATTTTTTTGAGATAGGGTCTTGCTATGTAGCCCCAGCTGGCCTGAAACTCACTATGTAGACCAGGCTGGCCTTGAACTCACAGATCTGCTTACCTCTAACTCCTTAGTGCTGGAATTAAAGGCATGCACCACCAGGTGGTGGCTGCTTTTAAAATCTGTATCAGCTAATTCTAGTATCTGTCATTTAAATATTGGCCATACAGTAATTGTCTTACTGTGATCAAAGATGTGTACCACCACACCTGGTCTCTGATGTATATATTTATATATTTATGTGTATGAGTGTATTGCCTGCATGTATGTAAGTGTACCCATGTCATGCAGTGCCTGAAGAAGACAGAAGAGGGCATTGGATCCCCTGGAACTAGGAGTTACGAATGGTTGTTAGCCACCACATGGGTGCTGGGATTCGAACCCAGGTCTTCTCAAGAACAGCCAGCACTCTTAGCTGCTGAGTCATTTCCAGGCCCTGGTGTATTTTTTAGGTCTTTATAGGGTCTCCCTATAGCCCCAGCTGGCCTGGCACTCACTATGTAGACCAGGCTGGCCTTGAACTCACAGAGATCCACCTGCCTCTGCCTCCCAAGTGCTGGGATTAAAGGTGTGCACCACCACACCTGGCTCCCTGATATATTTTTTACAGAACACTCATATAAATGGTAAATTTAGGCTGAGGAAGTTGTCAGTGAAGATCAGTCCCTTAACTTTTATATCTAAAGTTGACCCATACTTAGACCTCAACCTCTTGCTCTATCTCTGAGCCCTTCTAGGCAACGGAGTTTAGGATAATTATCTCATGAAATGTGTTGGCTATGGAAAAGCTTAGTGTGCAGTGGCAAAATCCTTTCCTAGACCATGGATCTAATGCACAGATTCCAACCTATACATATGGACTTTGTAATATCTGCCAGGCAAAGTATATCTCAAAGTTTTAATTCATTAATCACTAAAGCTTTAGGTATTTCCCTAATAGTCTTAATAACCTTCATGAGCACTAAGGATGTGTTAGCTCAGATAAAAGACAAAATAATTTTTTTTTTTTGTCTTTTCCTGTAGCCCCAGCTGGCCTGGATCTCACCATGTACACTAGGCTGGCCTGGAACTCACAGAGATCTGCCTGCCTCTGATTCCCAAGAGCTGGGACTAAAGGCATGCGCTACCATGTCCGGCAAAAGACAAAATAATTTATATTCCATAAAAGCAAACCAACCAACCAAACAAACAAAAGTCAGATACAAAAATCACTCTCTGTTTTGGTTTGAGGTTCTAATCTGATGTCTTCTATATGTTAGGATTTATATTCTTGCCAAGGTAAAGGGATTTTATTTACTTCTTGATACTAAAGCTCAAACCTAGGGCCTCATGAATGCCAGAGAAGTGTTCTACCACTGAGCCACTCCCCTAGCCTCAACAAGACTGTTAGGTTTTTTCAGGTATCATAATAATAGTATTCTAAGTTCTATACTTTATGCATCTGGAAACATGACTGTTTTGGGGAATTCTAAATTTAGAATTGGGAATATACTGCCACAGTTCTACCTATGGACAATCTAGATCAGGACTACTTTCCCACATACTCTGTACTGCTTAGTGATTTCTGTTCCTGCTTATAGATATGTATACCTACTAAATTAATTTTACTATCTATAAACTAATCTCACATACCATTTTTTTCAAAAATCCTTGACTGAGAGATCTGTCTGTAGCTAGTGAGATCATTCTAGCAGTTCCAGAACAGTCTACAAAATGAAATACATTAATATCAACTTTTTCTGATAAAAGAACAACATAGCTTCAAAATTTTACTACTCTGGTATTTAACTGATATTTCTATTTTATGATTACTTTAAAGAAATCTATAATTTGGAAAATAAAAAAGTAGAGCACTTAAACACCCCTAAGGAAACAAAGGGATTTTATTTAACAGTCTTATACCTTTGAAGAAAAAGAATATATTATAGGCACAAAAAGAACAGTAGACAGTACCATGTACAAAACTGATACAAAATTGTGACTGGAGGGGTTGGGTCATAACAGTGGTAGACTAGCATGTGTGAGGCTCTGTGTTCAACTACTAGCATGATATACAAGCAAAGTCAACAGAGACATTGTAAAGCTAAATCACGAATTTTGATAATTAGCTGATTAACAGGGTTTCTTCTAAGTATAAGGATCTTGGTGATACAAAATTTAATACCAAACAATCATTGTGAAGCCTAAAGAAAGCACATCTGCATCAAGAATCACTCATCTCACAAGTAATACCGATATTTAAAAGCATATGAACACACACACTGAGAAATAATTTATATTGAAGCAGCCTAGGTGGACTTCCAAGATCATCTTATTTTAAGAAACATAAATATTAGATTATCAACTTGTTTGCCATTACAACTTTCATTATGTAATGAAAACAATGTTTTGTTTTCTTTCTTCATTTTCCTTTACAGTGTCAAGTTAAAGGAAGTCATTTCTAAATAAGTTTCAGTTAATGCCAAGTATAGCACTGTACAGAATTATAATAAAATTCTGTTGGCCAGCTAAGTGTGGTGACACACACCTTAAATTCTGGTACTGGGGACTGGGGAGGCAGAGGCAGACGATCTCTGTGAGTTTGAGGTCAGCTTGGTCTATAGGCCATTCAATAAGGCCCTGTCTAAAAAAAATAAATCTGTTGACCAGATTGTTAATAAGGTTGATAATAACGACTATCAATTAATGCATTGTTTATTTCAACTTAGCAGAAAGTTTTCAGTTTTATTTTTTGTTATTGCCCTTTTTCTTTTTATTGATCTCAATTTTGAGACAGGGTCTCCTTGAAGCCCCAGCTGCCCTGGAACTTACTATGTAGACTAGACTGGCCTTGAACTCAGAGATCTGCCTTCGTCTGAGTGCTGGGCCTAAAGGTGTGCACCATTATGCGTGGCTTGTTATTCCTTTTATAAAGACAGGTAGCCAAGGTTGGCTTTGTACTTATATCTTCCTGAAGCTGGGCTCTCAGGCATGTGTACCACAATGATGTCTGACAATTTTTTTAAAAGGTTTTTTTGGGGGGTGTGGTGTGGTGCTGAGGATCAAACACAGGGAACAAGTGTAATATTCTTCCACTTTTAAAAATTCATATTCTGGCCAAGTGTGGTAGCTCACACCTTTAATCCCAGCACTCAGGGGGCAGAGGCCCTGAGATTGGGGCTAGCCTCAAAGATGGTCTCTAAATACTTTTCAGTCCTTATCTCTTAAAGACTCATAGTATGAAAACAACTCCTAAAGGTCCCTTAATAAGCCACATGCAGTGCTGTACACTTATCTCAGCTACTTGGTAAGCTAAAGCAGGAGGATCACTTGAGCCAGGAGCTCAGGACCAGCTAGGTTAACACAGTGGTAGCAGGCACGTAACTAACTCTATCTGACTACTCTGATGAAGCAGGGTTTATTAGCAAAAAATAGCTCACAGGAGATGCCTGCTGTTGAAACTGGGTTAGCACGTGTATCAGAACAAGAAA